AAATTAAAATAAACACAGTACCAAGAAGGATTTTATTTACACAAGTATGCAGCAATGAAACAATCTTCGACCTATAGCATTGGTGCTGCTCTCACTCCACTCGCTCCTCAGGTTCTCCAGAAAGACTACTAAGAAATTATTTTTGACTTACCAGATTTTATCACTGCATTTGTTGTGTTTGAAGGAAATTTCTGCCAGTCCACACTACAAGGTTCAGATCCAGACGAATGACACCATTTTACTACGTAGCCACAGGTCATGTTGGGGTAAGAATCCCAAGAAACATTAATTCCATTCCCCATTGCCATGGCCTGTCCTGTTACGATATTGTCTGCAACAAAGGTGACACAAAAATCAATCAGAGGGCAGACACTTGTCTATAGGCCAAGATGAAGAAAGCCTTCCAGACACAGCACAATGGCTTTATAAACGGCAGTCATTTCTAAGAACGAGAGGTGTGCATGAACTGTGAAATCCAACAACTGTGCAACTGTGTTGCACTCAGCTGTGCTTTCTGGAGTGCTCAAAATCAGACATAGCCTGCAGCAAATCCTTCAGCCAGCCTTAAGTATGGTGACGAGAAATGCAGCAACTCAGGACTGGCTTAAAAACCACTTTTTCAAGATAAGGATTTACAGCGGATGTCAGATTCAAATATGAATTGACACCAATTTGGCAGGAGCCTCCAGCTATAAATTCCTGCTGTCATTTCATCAAATGGTTTGCTTTGTGTTTCTTTCAGAGTGTCTTGCTGTCACTCGCTCAACCACAGACAACCATTTTTCACCAAGAATCAACAGCAATAATCACATCCCTGGCAATCTTTATGGAGGTTTCAGTCTACCAAGGGTAAATTAAATGAACAAACAGACAAAACAAAACAAAAGCAAGTAAACTTTGCCTTTTGTCTATTTTTCTTGTTTCTGATTACCAAAGGTTTAGCTTCCCTTGAAGTGATCAGATCTGGGAACAGCTTCTGATTCCTGCAGCTTCCCTCCATGGCTGTCCATCAGCCGGAACCCTGCAGAGCTAAGGGATGGTTTCTAAAGGCCACCACAAAAGCAGTGGCCCCACGACAGATCTGCAAAAACAATCTCAAGGTTTTAGTTTTCCTTTTTCAGTGTTCTCATTTACGCTCCCTATTGAGTCTATTATTTCATTTTATTAAAGCTATAAACTATGGAAGGCTGAAGGGCAAGGACAGCTTTTAGGAATCAGTGCTATGAAAACTTTACTCTCACAGACATGCTGTGAATGTTGAAGAATGTCTATTTTTAAATAATCTTAACATACAGCTAAGTGTACAATCCTTTTCTAGCTTGCTCATGGCAAGAAAAAGACATACGATTAAAAAACCAAGTCAACTCCACAAGTGGTTCCATATTTTTTCCAAAAAAACTACTATGTATCCAGTGAAACTACACTTCTACGATGCTGGAAAAGACAATATTTCTAATTAGCTGGCTTTAATTTTCCTATTTACAGAAAAGAGGTTTTACTGACTGTGACCACATGCTCTAAAAATTGCTTAAATACACGACACTCAATTTCATTTCCTGAGCTGGATGACTAGAAATTCACCATGGGCAGTACTGCTCATTTTGATGCATTTATAGCTACAAAGTAGACTAGGAGAAACCACCTACTAGCACTAGAGTACTACTGTGGTAGGAGAGCCTGGAACAACCAGATTATATGCCCCGACTCTCTTCAGAGCACTTTGCAGAGACAGTGACAAATTAATTAAGGCAGAATATCCTTTGTTTGTGTTTTCAGTTTTCAGACAACCTCAGTAGATCTCCAGCTTCAGAGCCACTGCTCTCTTATGGACATTAAAAGCACTTACAGACTGTACACAGGAAGCAGACAGAAAAGATGTTTGGGCAAAAATGTCATCCAGTTCAGTGAATGAGTCATCTTTCATGACTCCAGTCAGTGACTCAGATAATTCTTATACCAACTTGGGAGCAAATCTTTAATGAGTACAAGTTGGGTAACACCAAAGGGGACCTCAGATATTTGAGTGAAAGCTATAAATGAATGCAAACCTCTAGCTGCCATCAGCTATCCCACAGCACAAACCTATTACAAGACCTCTCTGATTCCCAGGGTTTTGTTCTTTTACTGCTGAAGGAGAGCTCTACAAGCACTTCCAATCAACTGTCCCATATAATTACTTTTTCCTCCAACAAGCAGACTAAGAATATACTCTAAGGTACTGGTGTTGGTGCCATGTCCAGTTCTGGGCTCCTCAGGAGAAGAAAGATGTGGAGGTTCTGGAGCGGGTACATTGGGGGGTAACGAAGATGATTAAGGAAATGGAGTATCTCTCTTATGAAGGAAAAACTGAGAGAGCTGGGCCTGTTCAGACTCAAGAATAGAAGACTGAGAGGGGACTTCATCAATGTCTATCAATATCTGAAGAGAGGGTGCCCATAGGATGGAGCCAGGCTTTGCCTAGTGGTGCCAAGCAATAGGACAAGAGGCAATGGGTAGAAACTGGAGCACAGGAAGTTCCATCTCAATATGATGAAGACCTTCTTTACTCCACATGCTGCCCAGAAAGGCTGTGGAGTCTCCTTTTCTCACCAGTGATATTCAAGAACCATCAGGGACAGAATCCTGTGCCATGTGCTCTGGGATGACCCTGACTGAGCAGGGAGGTTGGACCCGCTGACCCATTGTGGTCTCTTCCAACCTGACCCATTCTGTGATTCTGTGACTCGTTCTTCGGAGAAGCTCAAGAAACATTTTGTACAACGGTTTTCCTTCACATAGAAAAAAAATTTGTTTTTTCATCTCACTCTGAATCTCACCCAACCCCCTTTTCTTCATGTGAGAGATGGCCCTGTTTTATCAGAAACTCAGTTGCAAGACAGTAGCTGTTATACCTGTTCTCTAGGTGGGCAACGGGTTGCCGGGACCTTCCCGCGCCATGTGGTTCAGCCCCTGGGTGCGGCCGTGGCAGGAGAAAGGAGAGAGAAGGGGAGCCTTGCCGGTGGGTACTGCGCCCCCATGAAAGAGGAGAGGGGAGCTTCGGAGCACACAGAAGTTTGCCATTCCAGGTTTGGGGGAAAAAGGAGGGGGCGGGGAGATTAGGGTAGGGTGTTGAGTGGGTCGAGGGGGTCCTCCGACTGGCAGGAGGGAGAGCAGGACAATCCCGTATGAAATGTCGCAGGTGAGCAGTGCACCTGAAGATATGTGGTAACACAGTGGGGGAAGGATAAGGTCAGGGTGGATAGTAGGTTCTTCTGGAATAATGGGGGTCCCGGCCAGGCTGGGGCCTTGAAAGGCACCCCCGCCTTGGATGGGTACTGGGGTCAGAACGGTTGCTTTGTTTGTTTGTTTGTTTTTGGTTCACCTGTGGCTACTGCCCAGGTTCGGTGTGTTCTGGATATATTTGCTTTGCTCTGTTACATCCTGGAATGGTGGACAGGACAAAGGGTTGTTCCTGGCTATCTCCATTCAGATTGTTTATAGATAGGTGATAGGAAAATAGGAAATGAAAGACTCGCCCAAATCGTTCTAACAGGAATGTAGCCTGTGTACCCCTATGCGGTTGCGAGCTACGCTGGCGATGGTACATGCCTTCGGTAGGGTTGCCCATGCCAGACAGGACAAAACCATAGGGCCAGATTTAATACATTCTTGGGCAGGATGAGCTCGTTAGCCTTCTGGTAGTCATCCTAGGGGAAGGACAACTCTAATCCCAAACCCGGGCAGATGGAGCTCGCTTAGCCCTGTAAGGCCATCCATCTAAGAGAAGGACACTCTAATCAAACCTACATCCTGAGGACCTCACTGCCACCGTCCAAGCTTGCTTGGCCCTGGCAGATGAACCTTAGGATTAAAGGGTGGGTTCAGTTCAGCACATACTGTATCTCACCTAAAAAAACCATTGCACAGGTTTGAAGGCTTCACCCACGTGCAAAAAGCCCTGTAGCGACAGGCGAGGGTCGAAATGGCAGGTGAAAGGTGCACTGGAAGCTGCAGACCCAACCCTGTATGCAGGTGGTTCAGGATATTGGTCATTTGAGACTGACCTGAGATGACAGTCTCTTGGGGTAGCACCCTGAACAACCAAGCAGCCTTTCCAAGGACAGCACTGCCTGCTCCACTCGGAGAGGGGCCTACAAAAGGTGGCCTAAACAAAGCTCATCTCCACCTTCACCTGGTTGGTTAACCGCAGGCCAACGGGCATCTTCTTCCAATGCAGTCGCACAAAGATCAAAAGACAAAGGCATGCACCTGCCTCCAAAGGTGTACCTAAACTAACTCTAGCATGCTGGAACATCAGAACCATGTTCGATTCTGCGGATAGCGGACATCCTGAGTGTCGGTCTGCTCTAACTGCCCATGAACTGGCTCATCTCAACATAAACATTGCCGCTCTCAGTGAAGTTCGCCTTCGTGAAGAAGGTAGCCTCAGAGAACATGGTGCTGGTTACACACTCTTTTGGTCAGGTAAGCCCAGAACCTAAAAACATCTCTCAGGAGTCGGCTTCGTGATCAAAAACTCTATTGTTCCTAAACTCGAAAATCTGCCAACAGGTCACTCTGACCACATTATCTCCCTACGCCTTCCACTAAACAACAAGCAACATGCTGTCCTCTTTAGTATATATGCTCCAACTCTCCAAGCTGACCCTGCTGAAAAAGATAAATTTTACACTGACCTGCGCCTCCTTACCCAAAAGGTGCCTGCAGATGATAAGATCATTATCCTTGGTGATTTCAACGCCACAGTAGGTAAGAATTCTGAAGCATGGAAAGGAGTATTAGGCAAGCACGGTGTTGGAAACTGCAACGATAATGGTCGACTTCTGCTAGAATTCTGTGCGGAGCAACAGCTCACCATCACTAATACTATCTTTCAGCAGAAAGATAGTCTGAAGACAACCTGGATGCACCCCAGATCTAAGCATTGGCACCTCATCGATTACGTCTTGGTGCGATGGAGAGATGTCCGTGATGTCCACCATACCCGCGTGATGCCCAGCGCAGAATGCCAAACAGACCACTGGCTCGCGTGCTGTAAACTCAACTTCAATATCAAATTCAAACCCAAAAGGGGTAGCATCCCAAGGAGAAGACTCCAAGTTAACAATCTCCAATCAGCCACAGTAAGAGATAGATTCCAGGCAAACCTTCAAACGAGGCTCAAAAACCATTCCACAGATTCTGCAGATTCCTCTCCTGAAACAATTTGGCACCATATTAAAAACAGCATCCTGCAATCCTCTGAAGAATCCTTAAGGTTCTCCCTCAAGAAGAACAAGGACTTGTTTGATGAAAATAATCAAGAAATCCAGGATTTTTTGAGGAAGAAGAGAACCACCCACCAAGCACACCTTGCACTGCCATCCTGTCACGCAAGAAAAACAGCCTTTCGTCTTGCATGCAGCAAGCTCCAGCAGAAACTCCGTGACATCCAGAACAAGTGGTGGATTGATCTAGCTGTAAAAACTCAACCATGCGCAGATTCGGGAGATCACAAAGGATTCTATGAGGCCCTGAAAACAGCATATGGGCCTACATACCAAGTCCAAAGCCCTTTACTCAGCGCTGATGGTCAAACGCTTCAAACAGATAAAACCTCCATTCTGAATCGATGGTCTGAACACTTTCAGACTCTTTTCAGTACCAACCATGTAGTCCAAGACTCAGCAATTCAGTCCATCACACAACAACCGGTGAAATATGAATTGGATACTGCCCCCACTTTGCGAGAAACCCTCAAGGTCATACAGCAGGTGAAAATTGGCAAGACAGGTGGGGTTGATGGAATTCCACCCAAAGCCTGGAAACATGGGGGCCTTGCACTCCATGCTAAATTTCATGAGTTTCTGGTGTGCTGCTGGGAACTAGGCGAGCTACCACTAGACCTTTGAGATGCAGTCATCATCACTTTGTATAAGAAGAAAGGAATTAAATCTGATTGCTCAAATTACCGTGGTATTACTCTGCTCTCCATTGCTGGCAAAATTCTGGCAAGAATACTTTTGAACAGACTAATACCTGCTATTGCAGAAGGAATTCTTCTTGGAAGTCAGTGCGGTTTCAGAGCCAACAGGAGTACCACAGACATGGTATTTGTCCTCAGACAATTGCAAGAGAAGTGTAGGGAACAGAACAAAGGTCTCTGTGTAACCTTTGTTGATCTCACCAAGGCTTTCAATACTGTGAGCAGAAAAGGTCTATGGCAGATTTTGGAAAGTTTAGGTTGTCCCCCCAGGTTGCTTAAAATGATCATCTCACTCCATGAGGATCAGCACGGCCAAGTCAGATATGGCAATGCACTTTCTGAGTCCTTTCTAATAAAGAATGGTGTGAAACAAGGCTGCGTTCTTGCAACAACCCTATTCACAATCTTTTTCAGCATGATGTTCCAAAGGGCCATGGCAGACCTCGAGGATCAGGACAGTATCTACATTCGATACCGTACTGATGAAAGCCTTTTCAATCTAAGGCGACTGAAGGCCCACACTAAGACCTTAAACCATCTTGTCCGGGAGCTGCTTTATGCTGATGATGCCGCCCTTGTTGCCCACACGGAAGTAGCTCTGTAGCGTTTAACATCCTGCTTTGCAGACGCTGCTGAGCTCTTTGGGCTGGAAGTCAGCTTAAAGAAGACAGAAGTTCTCTATCAACCTGCACTTCAGGAAGTCTTCCATCATCCCCACATCACCATTGGCCAGTCAGAGCTTAAATCAGTCCAGCAGTTTACCTACCTAGGCAGCCTCATCTCCTCAGATGGTAAGATTGATGGGGAGATGGACAACAGGTTAGCAAAGGCATACAGTGCTTTTGGAAAACTCCATAAAAGAGTATGGTGTAATAAACACTTGAAGAAAAGCACCAAGATCAGTGTTTACAAAGCCATTGTGCTGTCTACTCTCTTATATGGTTCCGAAGCATGGGTTGTCTACCGCCACCACCTGTGACTCCTAGAACGCTTCCATCAACGCTGCCTCCGTACAATCCTAAACATCCACTGGTCAGATTATGTGACTAATACGTCTGTTCTAGAACAAGCAGCAGTCACAAGTATTGAGGCCATGTTACTGAGAACACAGCTGCACTGGGCAGGGCACGTCTCAAGGATGAAGGACCACCACCTCCCTAAGATCTTGCTCTATGGTGAACTTGCCACTGGCTGCCGCAAGAGAGGAGCCCCGAAGAAAAGATACAAGGACTCCCTGAAACAACATCTCAGCCTTGGCCACATTGATCGACATCATTGGTCTACTCTGGCCTCCAGTCGGGAGGTCTGGAGACACACCATCTATAATGTTGCTGATGCTTTTGAGAAAGCACACAGGATCACCCTTGAGGAGAAAAGACAATGTAGAAAGAATCGTGTCTTGCTGAATACACCACCTAAGGAGTCTTTCTGCTGTCCCTTTTGCAATTGGACATGTCTATCTCGTATTGGCCTCATAAGCCACCAGCATGCCTGTAACAAACATGGATAGAGCCTTCCTAAATCTTCGTTCGTGAAGCCCAGCCATGATGATGAGGTGGGCAAGGAGAAGCAGATCCACGCATGCTCCTGGCAAACAAGCACAGAGAGGTCTTGCTGTGTAAATCTGTACACCCTGCAGAGCTTATCAGCCAGATCTGGAGGCAGATGTTTGGGCTTTGGGAGATTATACTCTTCCTAGCAGCCAGGGAAACATGGACTCTCAAAAACCTTGTGCAATATTATCTTCTCCCCAGGTTCAGTGTTATGAGCAGAAAATCATTATCTGGCTCAGCTATTTCCCTTTACAAAAGCCCTCAGCAAGAGCAACAGTGCTTTAATTGGGAAGCTAAAGCCCTACCTCCTTTTCAAACACTGTCTGCCTAGCACAAGGATGCCAACACTTTACCAACCAGCCCAATTAATATTCTCCTGCAGAGCTCACAGGCATTGAACTGACAATTCTCTCCTCAAAAAGGCACACAACACCTCCAAAACTTTATTCTGATTCTCTTTAGCATGTAACACTTCTCAGTGTCTCAAAAAGAACACACAGAAATAAACTCAGCTCCCTAAATATCCACACCAATGCTCTGAAGTCTCATTCATTTTGTTCCTGGGAGGTCTCCAGAAAGTGCAAATAGCTGCAAAGAGTGCACACTATCACCCTTCCTTTACGTAGAGAGTACGATTGATTGGAAAGACACTACACTGAAAGAAAAGCATTTTTTTCCCCTACCCAGTAGATTTGGGTGGGGAAATAAACACAAACAAACAAAGCATTATTTTTCAATCAACAAACTCGTTCTGGCTTTGAAGGTGTTTAACTCATGGTTGAGAGCACTCACCACTTGGAAGTTCCACGCTTGTTATCCTTGAAGGAGGAGATGAGCCTGCTTGGTTTTTGGCTACAACGCTAATTATACAGTCATTTTTTCCAAGTTTTATCTCTGTGCTGTTTGTGGGTTCAGTGACTACTTTATGCTCCAGTGGTGTCTCTAGCAGGTAGCAGGACACTTCATGAGACATTATTCTCCCATTGGCTTCAGAAAGGGGTAAGGGCTATGAACAGACAAAGAAAAACCATTAAAACCAAAATGCAATATACAAAAGAAGACACAGGAAAATATGAATTTAATGTTCCTGATCTAGTCTGATGTCTGTATAAGAGTATGAGCCAAAAAAGTCATGCAAGTAAGAATTAGCATATAAGTTTCCAAGTTTTTACTTTTCAACTAGGATGTATAAAAAGTTTAATTCTTCCTGTGAAATGCTTCTCAATGCAATGTTTAAATTATAAAATTTCAATAATATTTTCATTTGGGAAAAATATTTGTCTCAATGGATGATTCCAAAAAAAAAGGCTAAGAAAAGCAGTCTGGTTTACTGACTATACAGTTCACTAATTTATAAATGTGTAAGAAAATATTTTTTATACAGTTACATTACATAATATTTTAAATAATATACATAATATTTAAAAGTTCAAGTGTCCTATCTACCTTCCAGAAGATTTTTAGACTTTCTCCAGAAGGACTTCTCTCTCTCCAGATGTCTGGTCCTCTTGCAGGAGCTTAGAAAAACATAAGAGTGGTAGTTTATTTTCCCAAGTTGCACAGTAGACAATTTACCATCTATTGAAAAGTTAGGTTTTTAGACGACTAATTTTAAAATATATGGCCTCACAAGTCCAACATTTTCTCACCAAAGAGTCAGATAAACTTACGGGCTTCTGATGTTGTGTACTCCTCTACCCGGCTCCAGTCACTCCACCTCCAGAAGTGGTCAGCAGCTGAACAGCGCACCCTGAGCTGGTATTTGGTATATGGGTGCAATGCATTCAGATGAGCTGTGTAAGCTGAGGATTTCCCACCAGGCATGGAGATATTGTGCTGTTAAAAATTTACAGAAATTGACATGATATATTTTTTTCCTCCTAGATTATGCTGCAAGTCAGCACCTAAAAACGTGATATTTTTCCCCAAGAATGCTCACAGTGTGAAAGCTGCAGTCAAGCCCTATGAAGAAAATAATGAAAAAGAAAAATATTTCCTATGCAGTCACCCTAAACAAAGAAAAAATTTTCAGAGGTCCACCCAAATAAAGTCATATATAGCACAGAAATTGAAATATGACAGTAGGTAGCACCTTTGAGCTGTAAAGCATGAAAAGGAGAGGGAACACTGATGAGCCTTCAACAGGAGGAGCTCTGCACACAGTAGCAGGCTGTTGCTTCCTATCTATCCCATCCAGTCCCCTGCTCTCCTACATGCAGTAAAACTGCTCACATGAGGCAGGCCAGGATTTCACCTCTGGTATTCAGAACCTGCACTTCCCCTGAGCACATGCACATCAGACTGCCAGCACAGAGGCTTTTTTCCTAAGAGACATGCACAGAAGTACACTAAAGACAGCTTGTTAGAGCAAGATATTTATCATATAGTTTGCTTCCACCATTTTTCCTTCAAAAGATAGTATCCAAATCTAACCTAGGTGACCTCAGTTCACAGCTCTTATGAGAGGACTAGTCTCCCCTATTATTCTTAAAATGATGTGAGTCTAGGAAGCGTTTCAGTTGCATGATTACTTAAGGAAATCCTAAGCCTGGGAATATTTTTCACTGAATCTAATTATAACACATGTGCACCACAGCTGCCAAAAACTGGATTCCAAGTGACTTTAAGATGCAACTAATTGTGCACTGCTAAAGCCAAATGACAACTTCAAAAATACTGGAAAAGCCAGCAATCTCTCATACGGATGGAAAAGCTTCTGAAAACATCCGCAAAATGCCATGTAAAACTCCATAACAATTTCACAGCTACTTTTGTTTGTTAGGGAGAACTCCTGGAGTTTTTATTAAGCAACCAGCAACAATGTAACAAGTTCTGAAAGCTTCTAGGGAGCTCTTTGCTGCATTACAAAATATCTGCAGCTGTGGGCTCTGATACAGGTGCTGGGAATCAAACTTCTGTGCAAGTGTAAGACCTGACTATCTCCCACTGCCCCAGATGATTGCTTTGCTAGCAGAGTTCACAAATGAGTGCACGCCCGAGGCTTTGAGCTTCGTATTCCAAAAATACTTATGAGTTCCTTTGCAGTACTTTATCTCTGGTATTAGTTAACACATGTCATTACAGAGAAAATATAAAAGCTTAAGGCTTACACACTCATTAAGAGCTTTGAAAGTATTTTAAAAATAGTCTTACAGAGTATGCATTAACTACTACCCTATTATTTTAGAGGCACGTACATAATGATTATCTTCAGTCTAAGCTGTATAATTTCTGTGGTTTGACCTAAGTTATTCAAGGCTGTGCCCAACTAGCAACTAAATACAGAGGGTAACAGAACTCTGCTAAAAATCAAACAAGTACTGTAAAAAACAGCCTCTGAGGTTAATGTGCTAAAATTACAAATTCAGACTCGGTGCAGCAAGACCTGACAATTCAGCATGTGCCTACCCAAAATGCTCAGAGATCTGAATGCACAAAGAAATTGGGGGTAAATCTCAAGCCAACTGAACAGGCAGCTGCCATTAGGCTTCCCCAGTGACACAGGTCACACCACACTAAGTTAAGCAGTTAAGAAGAGGATATATTCCCACCACCTACAGTCAGTGTCTGATGCTGGTGTCTAAATTAGTATCCTAAGCTCCTCTGACAGTCAGCAGAGTAAATATGCAGCTCCAGTCAGGGACACAGAGCACCAAGCTGGGCAGCAGCTGGGAGCCTGAATGGCTGAAAATCTGAACCCAGTCCACAAATACCACCTTCTCTCCTCAGTGGGAGATTACCTACTGATACACCCAGTGGGAAAATCCTTCCCTATCCTGTCTCTACATCACCGACATACAAGCAGGTTTAGTAGCTGCCTGTTATGGCCACATGCATGTCAACTGCTGACAGTAAACAAATGAACTATTCTCCAAGGGGAAAGAAAAGAAAAGAGAAATTCAGCTGCAGACTACAAGATCTGAAATAACCACCATGGAAGTCTTCAAGGCAGCAGTGCATCCTGGAACAGCTATGTATTAATAGTTAATGTTAAGTTTGCACCTGGAAGGACAAAGCACAAGGACTGTTACCTAAAGAATTAGCATAAAGCACTATGGACAGTCTCCAAGCAACAAATAACATGGTGTGTAATTTGACTTTGTTCTAAACAGTTTAAAACAAAACAAAAAACCAAACAAAAAAACCCTAAGCCCCCCCCCCCCCCCCCCCAAAAAAAAAGAAGAAAGAAAAAGAGAGAGAAACCAGGCAACAACAGAGATGAACAGGAAGTTTTCTGATTTTAGTAAATGAACCTCTACTCATTACTACATTAATCATTTAATAAGATTATCAGAATGAAGCTCTTAGCATGAGAAAAGAATTTGAAATGTGATTAGTTCAGTGAAAAAGATTGACATCTGTGCCAAAAAATAATCCCTTAAAAGCAACACTTACTAGTTTTTGCTCAGAGTGACCACTGCTAATTTCAATTTGACACAGAAGCCTGATCTCAGCAAAGCTGCCATTTATAAACCAACGCAGATGAATGCTTGTAGAGTTGTTTTCAGAAACAGTCAACTTCTCCGGGGTTTTTGGATGAACTAAAAAAATAAAGAAAAAACCTTCAGTTCCAAGTCAAAAAACCATATTCATTTCAGTTCAGAAAAATCTGACTTTAAAAGACCAAAGAGAATCAGAAGGATAAGTGATCCAATCAGCAACTGGGAAAACTGGTGCTGGAAGGCACCTGTGAGCAGTCTCATTCCTGACACTCTTCTCAGCTGTCAAACATGGAAATAGATTTACTTAAGACTGAGTGTACCAGCACATGAGATAAAAACTTGGAGACACAGATAAATATTTTCCGTCTTACTGACCTTATGAAAAAAGTACTTTGAGAATTCTAATCTTAAGATAGTTGATCTGGGACCTGGATTAAAAAAAAATGCACCAACTTCATGTTTAAATTCAGTTTTTTGGGGGATGGCAGAATATTGTAACCAATAGGAACGTCTGAAATCTCAGCTGTGGTTGAGGAGACAGAAGGAAAAGGGTGAGGAAGACAGTGCTAAAAAGGTGGTCATCTCACTTTCCTTGTTTAAACTTAAAGTCTAATGAAAGAAGTTATTTCTTTCTCCAAACTATGACAGCAGATGATCATGGCTATTACCAACAGCATGTAATAGTCCCGATATTACCTTTTATCTGTTTGTGCTACTTTTTTTATGCTCCAAACGCTGATGCTGCAAAACTGTATGGTATTTTGCCCTATAAACACAGACTGAAATACAAGGTCATCCACAGTTCATAGAGTTACACCTAAATTTAAATTATTGATGTGTAATAAAATATGAAGCAATAAATAAACTTGCCTAGAGAAGCTGTGAAGGCCCCATCCCTGGAAGTGTTCAAGGCCAGATTGGATGGGGCTCTGGGCAACCTAATCTAACAGGTGGGATATGGCAGGAAGTGAGGTGTGAGGAGTGTGTGTGGTGTGTTGGAACGAAATGATTTTTAAGGTCCCTTCCAACTGCAGCCATTCTATGATTCCCAATAAACAGCAGCCAGCTAATTATTAGGTCACCAGTAGCATTTATATCAACACTAGCAGTGTGCACAATCTGGTAGCATTTCTATTGAGAACTGTCATCTCCCTGTACACATCACTGCCTCAAAACAGGTCTTGAGTTATTTTCAAGTCCAAATTATTAAATACAGCAAAAAGCTGGTGACAATAAAGCAAAATAATGAAAAGTATACCATGTCAGAGTTCTTCAAACACCAAACAAACAAATGGTTAGCATGTAGTAAACACATCTTTTTGCCTTTTTAAGTCATTACTATTACCTCTTTGAGTTATATCAACCAAAAGAGATGACTCTGCTTGCCCAATAGGATTGGAGACACCTAATATGAAATCATAGGTTTTTTGATCAGGCAGTACTGGAAAGACACAGACACGCTCTCTGTTCATTTCATTGACTTCGCATGAAACATTTTTACCAGATGTTCTAAAAAGTAAAAAAGGAAAGGGGAAAAGGTTAATTTTTGAATAAGTTAATTTCTAGCAACAGTTAGAACTCTAGACTGAAAACACAGTACAGAATGATGGGTTCAGTTCACACAGCTTACAGAATGATTTGATTGCAGAGGCATAACACCACAACGCAGGTTAAAGTGGCAACAGTCATGACTTGCCCTGTTCTCACGTGAAACTCTCCTCTTCTACTAGCATAACATTTCCATTCACTCACTTCTCAAAAGCCTTGAAAACAGGTAGGTCCTGTAAAACCACCTCACAAGTTACCACTAAGATTCTGACTTAAAGTATCTTTGTTCAGATCAGCATACATTTACATTTAAAGAATTCTTTTAATTGTTTTCTGAACTAGTAAGATGCTACATATATTGTCCTTCTAAAAGCCTGAACTAAAGTTTGTTACCTGGAATACATCCGCTATTCCCAGTTATTTTTTAATCAACAGCAGGAGAGGCAGTCTGGTAACAGACAACACCAGTGGTACATCTCTGGGGGTAAAATCTAGAGCGTGTATCTGTATATATGTATGTATATTTGCTTTAATTACAATCTGTGTAAGCCTCTCATTCAGTAGCACAAATTTAATTAACTTCTTCCTTCAGGCATTTTTATTGTGTTCTAGCTGAGCTCTGAGCTCTCTCCACATCATACTCTCTATTTCAATAGTTCAGTGTGGGCTGAGAACAAGAATGAGAATATTTACCCTGAAATGCATCACATCAATCTTACAGCTTTGGGCTGAACATAACAACACTGGACAACATCCTTGTTTATAAGTTGAATATCAGCAGCGAGTGACTAGAGCTCCTTTCCTTTGAACACTTGCTCTCTTTTGTCCACCTCTTTGCACTCTACCCAATGACTTCTTTAGCATTAGCACCCTCGGTGATATCTGTGGCAGTAACTCGATCCTCACGGCCTCTGACTTGCTTCAAAGCCACCACAAGACTCCATTTCTCATCAGTTTGTGTGACTCAGGCCTCTCCTGGCTCTTTTTCCTGACTGCTCCTCTGGCATTACATGGGAGCCTCCTCGCCACGTGAATTTTGTTAACTCCTCACTAACTTCTAATCACAACTACCAAGGAATCCCAACTGCAAGTGCTATTCCAACCAATGATTCCTCACTTTTAAGGCTTTACATGGCCTACTCCGTTAGACAATGTGGTGGGACATCACTCGACTACTTTCCATGGATGACATCAGTGCTTTCTTCCCTTTCAACATTATACAGGTAATACGTATACTTTGCCTGCTCGACACTATCTAATCCTTAATGCTGAGAGGAGAATGGCTGTAGGCCCATTGCTGTTTTTCCTAGTGGCATGGGAAATGCACCATGACCTGTTTTATAATTCTTTCTCAGTGGGCTTCTTGCCATCTTGCCTAGTAGAAGTTCAGTAAACATCTAACATACAATCTGCCCAGGTTTCATATTAAAAAAAAAAAAAATGAAAAATTAGTGATTGACTTATTATGTACCTATATTTTCATATTGGTCTTATCTGTATGTTGGCAGCAGCCTCATACTCTATGCCCTTTATTTACTTGTGAGTTCATAATGGCATAAACCTCTGGGAAAAGTCATCCTTAATTTCCACTGGAATTTTGCAGGGCTAGACAAGGGTTTTCCAAGTTTAGTTACAACTTCTAGAAACTCCTGGAAAGTATTTTAGGCTCTAAACAACGAAAACTATCACATTTAAGTATGCATGGAGCAGTAAGTCACAGGCAGCAACGTAGGTATTCCAGTTGTACCCTTTTACTCCTTTTAGCGCTGATTAATTTTACCTTTCAAATAAATTGTACTTTGTTCTTCGTTTTCCATACAGTCCACTGGGTCTGCCTGGTTTCCAGGTGCATTTTATTATCTGGAAATTGGGTGTTTCACAGCTCAGGTTTTGGGGAATATCAGGAGCATCTGTAGCATGAAAGGAAACCAGAAGAGTTAGCTGATGTTCTGCCATTCTAGTATGACATTTGGGTCACTGGTTTCCTGAAAACATCACCATTTGGTTTTTCTGGGTCTGGACTGCGTGCTTCACAAATACATGGCAACAGTTACACTCCAACCATACAAAAATACGCCTTTAAAAAGTCACAATAAAACAGATGGATAATTATTATCAGGCCCATCTGACTAACACTTGACTTGAGGATTCTAAGTGGGTGGGTAACCTGGTAAATCACATGCAAACATGTTCACAAGCTCCAGGCTCTGACCTGGAAGTGTTTCACTGAAACTCTGCCAAGACTTTTCTGAAATTCTTAGCATCAGCTTAGCCGATGAGCAATGCAGGAAAGCTGTCGGCTGTGCGTCACATTTTCTAACATGCCAGCCCCAACACTGTTTTGAATTCTCCAAACAAGTCATGTCAAGGAGATGGTCCCTTTGGCAGGAATTCCACACTGAATCTGAAAGTTAAAGCAAGGCCTGAATGGCTCATCCCCTTTCCCATGACTTTGGAAGTGCCAATCTTTTTCTTTTAAATCTTGTTTTTTGCTGACCTACTAGGGCAGGGTTGAGTACCTTCCTGGAAAAGATGGGCAGTGTTCCCAACAGAGAGGGCAACCATGCTAACTTGAGAGTAAGTAGAGCACTTGTTTCAGGTCTCATACACTTGAGATGGATGAGACTGGAAAGATGTGCCAAAGGTAGCACAATAATATCCACATAGCTGCCCTAGAGAAGGGGCACTAACGCAAGAGGTGACAGTGGTAGGCTTAGTTTCGATTATGAGCAGCGGGCCAAAAAGGAACACAGACCTAGGCTTAACCAAGGCATTATTTTTCCTTCCTCTACCTTTTCTTCCCCAAATGTCTCTCACCAGCAAGAGGACCATCACAAGTCCCCTCCCTGTAGACACACTAGAAGAAATATTGACAAGAAACAAGACTTGGAATCCCATCTCTTTGAAAACCACTGCATAGGAGAAACCTATGGGATTGTCAGGGCATTCTTTCTTGAATCACTGACTTAATTACCTGGATGATTCTCCCACAAAAGTGAATAGAGTGCAATTAATGTAAAAATGACATATCACTGAGAAAACATCAACGGCTGAATTCTGTTTTGCATTTGCTATCACAAACTTAATAGACAAAGTCAATGAGAGCATGCACAGCTTGGAGATGGGAGTACACTTTCAAAATGAGTCCAGTTTCACCTATCCCTTTCCTCAACCCCAAGGATTCTAAGTTTCAAGGCAGGCATTTGTAATGGGGAATGGGATTATAATGAACAGCTATCGGAAGATTATAACTCTCAAAATCCACGTGGAGAAAACACACAAAGCTCTAAAATGACCAATTACGAGAAAAAAACCACGAGGTACCTTCAGTCATTTGTTTTAACAGGTATCTGTTTCTGGAACAGATTTCTGATCCTGGCAGAGAAGATGCACAGTGATTCAGCACCTTTAAAGAAAATACTGAAAGGGTGTTTTAGAAGAGCGTCCAGGAAAAAGGAATTGTCGGTTGGTTTCCTCTGCTGTAATTAGCTTCCAAGGAGCTACTGCCCTGGATGAGTATGTTTTGTTGCAAGTCTAACTGTTTTATTGTCTTCATTTGACTGACTGGTAAACAAATGTTTGCATTTACAATTCTTGCTCTTACTCTCACCTTGCCATGGACTAAACCAGAACAGATGTAAGCCTACAGTGATATAGACGGGGGATGAATATTCATATGGCAATAAACTACTGAGTATTCCAGATCATGAAAAAGTACCTTAGAACAAGAGATCAATGAAAGAAGCACTGGGTCAGGTTCTAAAAGAAAAGGGCTTATATGGGTACCTTCTCATCCTCCCAGACTTGGTGTCTTCTCCATGAGCTGGGATTTCCACAGTGAAACAAGTACAATCCCAGTTCATGCTCAAAACCAAAGGCCGGGGGTGGGAGGAAAGCCACAGTAGTATTTGTTTCCTAGCAGAACTCTAAGA